GGTCTGTCTTAGTATTTGTTTGGTCTAAACGATACAGCCACTTACGGCTGGTGGATGTATCGTTTAACAATTGTTAAAATTGTTCAATGTAAATTCTACGTTTGCAAAAATATTAAAATCAGGTTTATCATTAAATTACTATTAACCTCAAAATACAATAATTTAATTTTAACAGGTGTTCAAAATTACCTCTTTCCTGTATACACATTCTCCAAACGTATATATAACATATTTATTTTATAAAATATAAAACTGACCACCTATAAAGTACCCCCCCAGATATTCCGACTCTGTCCAAAATTTAATCAGTTCACCTCAGGCCGGAATAAGGCTTAAGTTTAAAATTTGATGAGTTTTTCTTTATCAGTTTTTCGAAATTTACACATTTTCTCAAATATCTCGAATACGGTCCATTTTAGAGAAATTATGTATGGGACAAAAATTATAGAGAATTATATCGCAAACAACTTTTATTTGAACAATTTTCATAAAAATTTGATTTTTTTACATTTTGTAAAATTTCTCGAATACGGACCATATTTTAGGAAAATTTTGTATAGAACAAAAATTATAGAAAATAATATAGGAAATAACTTTTATTTGAAGAATTTTCTTCTCCAAACGTAAATAACATATATTTCATAAAATATAAAAATGACCCTCCAAGATGTTCCGACTCTGCCCAAAATCTAATCAGTTCACCGCAGGCCGGAATAAAGCTTAAGTTTAAAATTTGGTGTTTTTCTTTGTATCGGTTCATGAGTTATGGTGGATACAGACACACAAACACAGACACATATCATCCCGAAAATAGTCAAAACGGATTCGGGGGACTCCAAAACGTAAAATTCGTCGAAAACTGAAGGTCGAATAAAAATCATGATTCCTATACTTTCCTTATATCTGGATACAGATAGAGGAAAGTAAAAAACACCGCGCGGTGGCCATTTAATCCGGTACATTTCTATTTGGGTATTTTTCTGCATAGTCTTGCAGCTGCCGCACCATTCCTTTGACATTCACCTATTATTGCCAAATGAAAAAATATTAGGTTCCTACAATCGTTATCTCCATAATATTATTCTTACCTAAGACTAAATACATATCTCTGCCATTTCAGAAAAACTAATTATTCATTTTTAATCAAATATATATGGTAAAGGCAAAACTTTTTTCCAGAATAACTTCATGTCAAGACTGACAATAATAACAAACAATTAGGCATTCCAACGACCTGTCAAACAATAGGTGCCAGTGGGAAATTCTTGTATATCTAAGGGGGTAGCGACATAGTCTTGCAACTTGGACGCTATTTTTATTCAAAGTAGTAGTCGCCAAGCCTGCCAATTTATGAAGAAATGTATAGGTGGGTTTTTTAAATATTATTTTTATTGTGTTTGACATAAAATATTTAAATGTAATCCATTATTCATGATTTTACGTAAAGTAGATATAGAATACACAATATGTCGCCACCCTTAGATATACCAAACCTGCCCACTGGTAATTCATTTGTTTGGAATGCCTAATTAGGTAGGGATAATTAACCACCGCCTACTCGTTTTCATAAGGTGAAAATACGTATTTTCTTAACAGCTTCTTCCAGAGACTGGCTTTTTTAAATGCGTGTTATTTTTTAAAGTTCCTTTAAATGCTGCAACGAATCCAATATAAAATAAAATACAAAAGTATCAAAATAAGAGGTAATCCTCAAAAGATAAAATTGGTAAGTATATATGCAGTGTTTATTTTCAAAAAAATATATGGAAATCCCTTAGGTACCATAGTTGTGCATGGGCCACATATTATTTATTTAAAAACGAAAATAAATCAAACTCAAATGTGATCAAGACGTTAAATAAAATAAATAAATCTAAAAGACAATGGGGTCTATTCTGTAAAAATTCCTTTATATTTAACGGCCTTTAAAAATATTTTCTTCTTTAATTCGGTCACTATTTAAACGGATCTTTAAAATACATTAGAGAACTATCTTAAAGAAATCTGTTTAAATAATGATAGAAGTAAATTAACGAATACGAACATATTTTTATAGGCCGCCAATATTTTTAAAGGCCGTTAAATATAAAGGAATTGTTACAGAATAGACCCCAATATCACATAAATCTAGTAATAGTATTTATGTGATATTGGCTTTTATAGTTTTATTTATTTTATTTTTATTATTTATTTATTTCAATAATACAACACAGAAAATAAATTCCATTCTCTTTAATTTTTTGTTTACATGATTTCTCTAAAATGGACCGTAATGGAAAAATTTGAGGAAATGTGTAAAATTTTAAATTTTCAGTATTTTTGTTTGCAATGAATATGACATAAAAAAGTTTCGAGTAAGATATGTGTGTGTGGAAAATGTATAGGTATTTAGTCATTATACAATGATTTAGTTCATCCTCTAAACATTTCAGGCGGGTCCCAGTAAACCACAAATTCGCTCGGCCTGACATCGGCATGTACGGGAAGCATATTTACACAGCCTCCTATATGACGGCACCGGAGTGCTGAAACCTGTTCGCCTTTGTAGCCTACAAGTACTCTACAAAAGCTCATTGATTTAAACACCCATACAAATTTTATGATATGTGAGACTTTACTTTTCAATTTTAGCTGTGTCTAAGCCGTTGGCGTCTATGCCGGTAGGCTTAGCCAGGTATGGGTTAAAAATTTTTGGTGGCGGCGAAGCCGCCACACCCTACGAGAAGTCGTTGCTTCCTTTTATTCTTGTATATTTTCCTTTTTTTTATCCCAAAAACACTTCAAATGCGTCATTTGAATGACATCATGTCTATTAACGTCATTTTAGTACACGACCGTTTAAGTACAGCCATTGTTTCATAGAATGCAGATAAGCTTGCTCACTGATTCCACCAATAAGAGAGGCCTCATGCATTGGTGCCTAAATCAATGAGCTTTTGTAGCGTACTTGTAGGTTACAAAGGCGAACAGATTTCAGCACTCCGGTGCCATCATATAGGAGGATGTGTAAATATGCGTACGGGAAGCCGAGTACTCGGATTTCGGATTACCGTTATCGGCCTTCTGCGAGCCGGTAGGACCGTTCCATTTGACGTAATTTATAAGTTGAAACCGCATATATATGTGTGGCATGGTGGAAAAATATTCTTACACCATGCATGTGTGGTCCATATTTGGCTTTCCAGACATGGTAGGCATCCGAACTCGGTAATATTTGGCAGCCGAGCATGGGAGACATTATTACGGGCCGAAGTATATATAAATATATGATCGCGTCTACAATTGCCGCGTTTGAGAATCCACATCGGATGCATCTGAGATGTAAAAAATCTTTGATCACGTGACTCAGTATACGTAAATGTAATGGGACAGATGTGTCCGATGTGAATAAAAAAACGCTCGAGATGTAAAAAATGCATCCGATGTGGATTCTCAAACGCAGCAAATGTAGTGTGCTGTCGACATTCGGCTGGGAGAATATGCCCTATACATGCCGTAGCTGCACCCGTGTATATCGGGCCGATATGCCGGCATCCGCGGCAATGCCTCCTTCGGCGCAGTTACGGTGCCGATAACTGTGTTTATTGGAGTTATACAATATAGAGGTTATACAAAATAATCGGAAAAAGCCTAGCTGTAATAACTAATAGACAGGAAAGTCATGTCTAATTTTTTGATATAAGCACACGTTAGCTTAAATCTGCTTATTTTTGATCCTAGAGAAACTGATTAAATTTACATCTTTTTATTGCACCCTGTATATATTTGTACCCGCCTGTTTTTTTATTTACTTTTTAACTTTGAAACGACGTGAAACTTCTCCAAATGTATGTTTTAAGCCAAACAAAACATTGAATAATTTTTAGACTTACTAACTCATAAAATTCGTTAATAAAACATACCAGAAACTCTAAAAGCTTAAAAACATGAGCTGGGACCATAGATATGGAGGAGGGACCAGCGGGCTGGGAGGGAATACAAAATTGTAAGAAATTTACCAACAATTTTATTGTTGACAGTTTTTGACTACATTTTGTCGTTGCTATTTAAAATAGACGAATCACATCAAAGGAAATTAATTTTCACTTCTGACGTGTGTTCTTAAGCACACGCTCTTTTTTCAAATGATTTTGTATTTTTTAACCGACTTCAAAAAAGGAGGAGGTTATCAATTCGTCGCGATATTTTTTTTTTTTTTTTATGTATGTTCAGCGATTATTCTTTAACACGGTGTCCGATTTCAATGATTCTTTTTTTGTTAGAAAGGGGGTATTTCAGGGGTGGTCCCATATAAATTTAGTCAAAATCTAATAATTGGGTTCATCAGAAAATCCTCAAATTCTTCATTTTTTATGTATGTTCAGCGATAATTTTTTAACACGGTGTCCGATTTCAATAATTCTTTTTTTGTAAGAAAGGGGCTACTTTAGGGGTGGTCCCATATAAATTTGGTCAAAATCTAATATATGGATCCATGAGAAAATCCTCAAAGTCTTCATTTTTTATGTATGTTTAGCGATAATGCTTTACCACCTTGTCCGATTTATACGATTCTTTTTTTGTTAGTAAAAGGGGGTACCTCAGGGGTGGTCCCATATAAATTTGGTTAAAATGTGGTGATGGCATCTGCACGTTTTTGAAGTCGGTTTTTTTAAATTTTTAATTTGTAATACTTGTTTGAGTTTAAATTTAAAATCACATAAACACATAAAGGTACCTACACCTATAAACGAAATAAATAATTTCCGATTCAAGTCTAAAAAGAAATTAAACAGTTTTTTTAATTATATATAATCCTGCAATAACATCTTCATTCCTAAAAAAAGTATGTAAAGTATAGAGTATTTATTTTCGACTATTTTTAGTTAAATTTTTTTTGTTAAAATTAATCTTATCAACGCAGTCAAGTTCAAAAGATCACAGGTTGACGTTGTCTGGCGATCGGAAGATACGAGGCCAAAAAATAATAATAAACAGAAGAGAAAAAAAAACGCATAAGAGACAAAATCACATACAGTGATTGACAAAATAGATTTGAAATTTAAAACAGACTATCTTTATTCAATTCGTTTCAAAATTTGTTGTTCCCTTTCGTTAACAATACACTACAATCGGAACATGAACATAGAACGTAACTTTTAACAAAAACCATTGCCGGTTGTAACAGTTTTTAACCATATTATAATATTTAAATTTTAACTTTAAAAATAAATAATATTAATATGATATAGAATATAGGAGATAACAAATAGTTTAAAACAATTTTTATCACTACATCGACTTCCTTAGTATTAGAACATTCCATTTCAAAAGTAATTTATTAATATTTACAATATTTACGATTTTATTATGCTCATAATATATTTACAATAAAAGGTATATTACACCCGTGAATTTCCATTCGATGCCGACTCTCCTCCCATTGCCTGACCTGATGTCAACTTACCGTGTACTAGTACTAGGACAAAATTAAAATCAACTAAAAATACAATTTTAATCAAAAATATTTTTATTAAAGATTTTTATAATTTCAGTCCGGCAACGCTGTTACAAAGGTTCGTCCTCCGTCCCGTCCTAATCGTCCCATTCCCATTCCAATTTTCTGTCTAAAATTTGTCTGCCGGTAAGTAATGCAAAACTATTTTAATACAAAAAAGGAGTTATTTATAGTTTGAATTTTTTTTGTGCTTCAAATTTTTCGTTTACCAATTTGCAGGTATTTAGTTAACTGAATTTTAGGTGTTTAAAATAGCTAACATAACCAAAAATCTTCAAAACACATGTATAAAGTTTGGCGCTAATTTGGTGGGTTTATTTTAAATTGTCTTTAACAGTAGGAATAGTAGGAGGGTAGTTTTTGTGGAAAATTTTAATATAATGCGCTATTATACACTAAATTAAATTGTAGGTTGTATTTTTTTTTAACAATCTCATCGATCAGGAACCACTACAAGTATTACCATTCCTAAAACATGGACGACGATTGGGATGATGGAGCAGACAGTACCCCCGTTACCACGGTAAAACATAATTTAAAAAGTTTTTTCTCTATTTTTAACTCGATATAATTCTAGAGCGTTGGAGTAGCATCGGAGGGTGGAAAAAAGTTCACAGGTGGTAGAGGTTTCAAAGCTGCACAAGCTAATGAAGATGATGGTTGGGGAAACAGTAATTCAGGCGGTGGAGGAGGCTGGAACGATAACTCGGGTGGTGGCTATTCAAATGGTGGCGAACGAAGAGGAGGTCGTGGCGGCCGGGGGAGCCGAGGAGGCGGTGACTATGGGGGCGGTAGAGGAGGACGCGGAGGTGGTAAGTGATAACTTTTTGTAAAATTTTGTAAAAAACTTACTAGTGTGAAAGAATAACAATTAGTAATTATTTTTAATGTGGTTTCAAGGCGGGTTAACAGGTTGGTCTTAATCGTATAAACAAGAATAGAAACAGTAAACCTAGGAGGAACTTTAAAAGGTATTTTTAACTTTACCTTATAAGTGCCTTATTCGCCATCGGGCGCAAGCTGGAGTCTTACGCCTTTATATTATTTTAGTTTATTTTGACAAAAATACTTTTTCACTTAAGAGGTAGTACCTATTAAAAATGTGACTGAGACTAATAATTTAAGCAATAGAAATTAAACAGTGGTAGATATTTTTTTGGGCACTTTTTGCTCATGAAAAAAACTAAGCATATTTACTTGTAGGTATAACTATTGTAAACAATCTTAGTTTCCATATGTTGTGCAAATTAATAGTAATTAATTATGACCCATCTTACATCTCTACCATATTTTTAAGTTTATTGTAACTTGAGTGAAAATTGTAATATATTAGGCAAATTGTATGTCTTGTGATAAAAGATACATTTTTGCTCATGACTATAAAAGTATTTGACAGTTTTTTAACAATCTTATTTAATACCATAAAAACCTATGCATTTATTATTATACAGGGTGTTACATTGAATCCAGTTAAAAGATTTAAGTGTAAAAGCAAATATAGCAGTACAAATGAAATGCCATACTTTTAACTTTAAAAACATAGTAACTGTAAAAATGTACAAACTTTTTAATTTGTTAAACATTAATTGACTTTATAAATTTCAAAAGCATAGCCTTTTTGGATTCTGTCTTAGTAACATGAAGAGACATAAAATTTAAACTGATAGATGTCAATTTTAAGAGGTCTATTTGGAAGAGGTGTTGACAAGGGATTTGGCATAAACATCGAAACTTTATTAGTCTAGAACCAATGTTATATAAAAAAAGCCCAAATTGAATAATTACTTTATTATAGCTAAATTTATATCAAATGTTAAAAAATAACTATTGACTGATTTCTTTGTCTCTGTATTAAGCATATTATGATAAATATTAAAACGTAGGTATTTTCTTTTAATATAAGTTTGTATGAATTGACAGAACTTAGTTTAGAGATATTTACTGAAATAGCGGTTCCACAACCCATGTAACTATCAATGTTAGTAGGTACTTGGTCGAAAGATAATATGTAGAGTAGGTAGGTAATATCAGGAATTAAAACTAGAACGAAGATATATAAAGCTTGACATTCTATATTATACTCTTCACAGTTTGATAAACTCCCATTAACCCCTCCCCCATTTTTAATAAGAGTATAATAGGAAGCATGTTTTGTTATTGTCAATTTTTAAAGCAGTCTTCTATAAACAACAGCTAATATCAAAAAGCACTTTTTGGAACTTATGCAATAAACTACACCTCTATAATTAATATTTCAATTAAAAATAATGTGATTTTGACTTCAGGCAAATGAAGAAGTGTAACACCATGTATAAAATACATTGGGTGTTTAAGAGTATTAAATTATCTATCAAATGATCATTAAAAACTGTCAATACTTTTCCAGTTATGAGGAATAATTTTCTTGGGTGCTATAATGAACTTTGAATGGTAATATCTTATACCATAGACATACAATATCCTCATAATATTACATAATTTTCACTCATTACAGTAACTTTTAAATTATTAAATGTTTTCAGACTCCTCATTAATTAATTATATTTATTTCCAATATCTTCCATAAAATCACATATCTAAAGCAAAATTATAAAGTACATAATCATTTTTCTACACAAGTATGTTATGTTGGGAATGGGGTGTTAATACACTGCGACCTAAAAGATCTATTGTGTCCCCTTCTGTCGCCAATGCACCAAGTAAATGTCTTAATGCCTATAACGACCCTTCCAATCCTATTTTCTCAAGGAAGTGTAGGATTTGAAGTGGCATCAAGTTGGATTCTGGAGTGCTACAAATTCAGTTAGGATGTGAATGTTTCTTCTTCCTCCTCATAGAATCTGCACTCACTATCCTCTACTACTCTCAGTTTACTTAGTTGTCCTTTTAGTCGGCAGTGCCCGGTAAGGATCCCTGTTAATTATATTTTGGATTTTTATTTCCAATATCTTCCATAAAATCACATATCTAAACCAAAATTATAAAGTACATACTTAATCATTTTTCTACACAAGTAAGTGTGGACCACATAAAAGAATACCTGTGGGACACATTTAATTTTTGATTTGTCTGCAGTACTTTAAAGATATGATTAATCTGGTAGGTACATTTTTATCATTAAACATAAAATTGTTTATTTTTTTGCTCTCCTAATGATTTAAATTGTATTTTTAAACAACTCAACAAAATGAAAGAATGTAAAATGTTTGTCTTAATTTTCAAAATGATCATTTACAAGAAATAACTTGCTTCAAAAAATGCAATAGTTAATGTAGAAGGTAAACACAATCTTGAAAACAAACATGTTATCTTGAATAATATATGTTTTGTTTTTATAATATACAGAATGTTTTGAATGATGCCTCTTTATTAAAATAAAAAATAGTTCTTTGTTAAAAACATCAAGGATTTTGTCAAATCAAGTTCAAAATCGATTTTCCTTTGTTTTGAAGCATTAAAAATATTCGACCTTGAATAAAATATAATTATAGGTATCATATTCTTTGTAGGAACACAAAATTTAAAAAATGTGATTTCTTAAACATTTCTATAATGAATTATTAGAATATTTTAGATTTAGAAGGTCATATAAGAAATGGATCTAAAATTAAATGAGCGTTTGTGATAAAAAAAAGCCGACCAGTGGCGTAGAAACAGCATCTGCAATAATTAAATTCCTAGATTGACATTTTTTCCTTTTTTTTTATATCACCATTGAATTATTTGTTTTTAACATTTTTGTTGAATGTTTTTTCAGCTGGAATACTATATTGTTGTTAAACTTTTTATTATCTTGAGCAGCTATTATTTACTTCAAAAACAGAAACCAAATCTTTTTGTCAGTATCTTTTATAAAATTAAATGGCATTAAAACTATAAAAATTAAAACTATAAAAATTAAAACTTCCTCCTAAACTTTAATATATCATTGTTTTTTTTTTCGTTGTTTATAATAAATTATTACTTGTGTTTTGAATGTAGACCATTACACATTTATTGATTTATTTATCAAATCACTCTTACTGCTTGTAATAAATTATCTGAAATTCTTGAAGTGCCATGAAAATGCATACAAAAAAAAATATTGTCTATTTAAAATCCAAAATGTGATGAGTTGTAGTGTTGTTGTTTACCTTAAAAAAATGTTTATTAATAGGTCATATTGGTCTATAGAAATTTTAATTGCCTTTTAAAGTTGAAGTGATCATACAGGATGTTTCCCCATAAATCACAGTTATTATTTTATTGTAAAATAGATACATGGTGTTAAACTTGCTCTAAAAAATAATTTTTACTCATTATGTTTGATTTAATTCTGTCCCATTTAAAATATGTTTTCTTTGCATCAACCTTTTTGTTGTTTTAGTTTTTTTTTGTCTTGTAATTAAAAATATAAATATAATTTATTCGACAAGCATAATATAATATAACAAGGGTGAACTTTTATTGAGATAAGTTATTTTTAACATTTTTTATAACACAATGAAATACAATAATAACATTAACTTATAGCTATTAACAATTGAACAATTTCTTGAGTAAAAGAATATAATTAACGTCTAAATTAATATTCGCATTATGTGTGTGCTTATTTATTTCAAAATAGGAATTCCTAATAGACAATGTGAGAATATATACATATTTCAAAAATAAATAAAAGTATAAAAATTAAAAAAAAAATTAAAACAATTAAAAATTGAAGCTACATTAATACATTTGGTAAACAAACAATACATTAAATTGCTAAACTTCTAATATGTATTATTAATTTTATCTTAAAGTCAGTAATGGTTGGAGCTTTTGTTATGTCAGGTAATTTGTAATTTTGTAGTTTGGGACTTGTTTTGCCTAAATATATGAAAATCATTCCTAATTTTTGTTGTATATCGATGAATTTGAATATTGAAGGTTAAGAATCTACCAAAATATTCAGGAACCATGTTGTGCAAAATTGTATATATAAAAAACATTGCATAGTAAAAAAGTCTCTTTAATATTTAGCCATTGCCAAGATGATAACATGAACGTTATAGATGTATGCCGATTGCATCTTAAAATAACTGTCATGGCTCTATTTTGTATTTTTTTGTAATATTTGGATTTTATTTAGGTCCAATGTGCATTAAAATTTAAATGACAATCAACAATAAGCCCTAGATATTTTACTTTAGTAACAATTTCTATTTTAGCACCGTCTCTAAATAAGTTTTTCTAATTTTGACTTATAAGTGACATTTTTTGTAATCGCAACAAGTGTCAATGATCTACTTTATGTAACCATTTGCACAATGTTGAACATTATGAAACTGGTTAGGAAAAATTCATTATGTCACCAGTTGAGAAAAGAAAACAAATAAAAATAAACCTCTTTTTGATTTTAAAATCAATAATATACATTATTATTATTATTATTATTATTATTATTATTATTATTATTATTATTATTATTATTATTATTATTATTATTATTATTATTATTATTATTATTATTATTATTATTATTATTATTATTATTATTATTATTATTATTATTATTATTATTATTATTATTTTGATTTTTCTCAGCTATTTGCCGGTTGCAATAGGCATAGTTAAAGAAGAAATTCATCTTATTCCAACAAGCCCAAAAATTTCCTCACTATATGGCAGGTCTGTAGGATGGCTGCTTTTTGTAGATGTGGTATAATGGGAGGTATATTTAGTTTTTCTAGTTGTTTAGAAAGGTTAACGGAGACAATTCCTGTAACGGAAACTACTATTGGGATTATTTGTACCCTCTTCATGTCCCAAACATGTTTTATTTCTATGGCAA